CTCTCGCCTCGTCCTCGTCGCGTAGGATGCATCTTGGCGTCGGTGTCCATGCTTCCGCGGGCGAAAAATGAAGTCGTTTTAATCCGGGCTTCAATAGTACGTGCAAAACGGGATCGCATTTAATCACCACCATCGACCTATCCATACAAAGCTTGCATTATAAAATAAACAAGCATCGTCGTAACGGGTCCAAAATTAAAAAGACAGCCGTTCGACGCGCCATGCGCGCTTTTGATTGGACGATTGCCGATCACGCAATAGAATGCGATCTTTGTCCTGTGTATACAAACAGCAAGGTATAATGGGGTGGATTTGATTGTTGCAATTAAATACACACCGGTGCCAAGTTCTCTTGCAGCATGATCATCATCCTCGTGGATTCGATTCGAAGAAGATGGAGGTACGACCGCAGGTAGACGTCGGGTATGTAAGGAGCGGTGGTGGTCCGTGCTCGGGCGCGCTATACCAGGATACCAAGCAGACTCGGCTGCTTGGACGGGGCTACCCATCCTCCTCCATGAGAATCTCCATGCAGCCAAGGTACTCCGAGGAGTACCCAGCACGCCGGCTGGGCGAACAACCCGATCGACGGACGAGACGGTGGCTTCGGAAGCGTCGGGACGCTTCAATCTCGGTCCATTGGCATCGAAAGATGCTGCGATCCTCGGGTTGAAGCGCGTCGAGGTCGCAGCACCTTGAAGCAGCGACGTCTCGACCGATCCAGGTCGGCCATCTCTGCACGGTAGTGGTCAACTAATCGCCACGCATGGGCATGACGACGAGTGCTTCAACGACGCGTCGAAGGCAAGAGGATGGTGGCCCTTGGCGCGTGGCCGGCCGAGCGGAGGCGGTCGCTTGTCTCTGCCCACGTACGCACGGTGCTCTTGGCAAGGAGCTGCGAGAACGATTTTTTCTCATCCCTCGCCAAACAAGGGCAGCCACACGCCATCCGCACGACAGGTATTCATGATTACATGTAGACGGACGTCTCGTGGGCTATGTGCACGAGGCGATGGTTGGCAGGATTGCGCGCGAGATGTCCATGCGGCCGAGCTGCTTGGCGTGAAAGTCCCAGCCAGTAGTCGTGTTCTTGAGGTTCATGACGCCTGCAAACTCGCGCATCCACACGTGGCGCTGAAAGGCCGCCGTCGATGGGTCCAAGTCGGCCGCTGCCTCCCACTTTTGGTACCCGTAGTAGAACTGCACATGGGCACACGCCGACCACGTTCTATGGCTCGACACGATCGACGCTGTGAGCTCGCCCGAGAGGCGATGCAGCGTGTGGTCTTGCACGACGTGTGACGGGATCGGCTCGGATGTATGGAAGGCCAGCTCGGCCATGCCGGCCGCCTCCCGCTCCATGAGACCTTGCACGACAGCCCGCACTTCGTCGTACGAGCTGTAGAACTCGTCCGGCTTGTCGACCGGCGACAGCCACTCTCGGCTCGTACGATTGGCAAGCGACGCGTTCAGAAAGTGGTGGGCCCCGCTCTCGGGCAAGCGCAGAAAGTAGTGCACGCCGTTGCCGATCGTGACCTTGGTCACGACATGCGTTCCGATCGTCACGTTGGTCGTCACGGGTACCGGGTGGTAGAGTCCGTGATACTCGACGGCTGCTTGCGTCCCCATCAACGTCGCACGTTCGCGCGCCGGCCACGCAAGCATCGTGTAGAGATCGCCCGCGGTCAAGTAGACGGAAATCGTCTTGGTACCCCGCTCGCCAAGGCTGGATAGAAACGGGCCGCTCATGAAGAGCTCGTGGTCGTCTTGGTGGGCGGTGACGAAGAAGGCAGCTTTCGTCATGGCCGTCATCGTCGTTGGCAGCGTCGTGGGCGGTAGCCACCCAAGCGTGACGACCGGGTCGAGGCTGCGGGTCGCTTTGAGCAGTGTGCAATGGCCCGTCGAAGGCTCAAAACTCGTGGCGACGCACTCGTTGCGCGAGATAGAGCATAGCGAATGGATTGCGCACGTCGCCGCCGAGTCGACAGACATAGATGTGATCGTGTCCAGCGGCAGTCCTGCATGAAGAAACTGCGCAGGGACTTTAGGGTAGTCGCGCAAAGCGAGGATCGCCGAGCGTTGCTGCAATGGCACGACCGCACACGAGCCCGACGACGCCGTGTAGGCGAAGACGCTGCGATTCCCGCGCGCAGTTGCCATTGCACAGTCCTCGAGAGATGCTGCTGGCACGACGGAATGCGTCGACTCACTGAACCGGTACCCGCGCATCGTCACGTAGCGACGGCCGTCGACCGTCAAGTGGTGTCGCATCGGGGCGGGCACCCAGCCTGCCATGCTGCTTCTCAGCGGCTGCATCGTCGGTGCCACGAGGTGACAGCGACCATCCCGCTCGAGATGGTACCCGACGCACCCAAATTGGTTGCCCGCGCACGCCGCAGCGCACTCGGCGAGCGATGCCAATGACGTGGCGGCCGTGGCGACAAGGAAGGCCGCTGGAATGTTCTCAAAGAGCACATCGCGACCGTCCTGCATGCGCATGTAGCTAGGACGCGTCGGTTGATTGGCAGCGTCATACTCAACGACAGAGCAGACGCGCGACGTGGTCGAGTACGAGAAGAGTGGCTGGCTCACCGTCGTGGCCAGCTGCGCGCACTCACCGATGGACTCGACGTAGGTGAACGTGTGCTGTGGCCAACCGACGGTGGCCGCCTTCGCCTCGTCGAGCCAAAGCGCGCCGTGGACATAGCTGTAGGCGACCGTTGGCAGCGGATGCGGGCCCTCGGAGCTTCCGAAGCGAATGATGGCGCGCGAGGATCGCCGCAGCGACAACGGGTAGCGCCGCGTCGTGACGGCGCCGGGGACGGCACGGCGGACGCCAACCGAGTCCTTGATGATGCACGTGGCGTTGCTGGAGAGGTTGTGCCATACGTATACCTGGCACGTCGAACCGAGGCGGGTGCAGAGGCTCGTGCAGCCGTCGAGCGACATGGGTGCGACCACTGACGCATTGTGGCCATCGTACGCGACGTCGGTCTCGGTGGTCGCGTACTGTCGCGGCTTGAGGAGCGCGCATAGCAGCGCGGCGATGCTTGTAAAGATGGCTGCCACGACGAGCAGCCATCGCGTGGGCGAACGCGCGGCC